AAAGCTGCATCTTGAAATGAAAGCGAGCGATGGTATAAAAACCCGAATCCTTCAAAAATTGGAGTGCTTTAAAAGAGAAAAAATACACGTCTTTAAAGTTGATTGTTTTTGAAGCCCTTGTGGGTGGTTTTATCTCGAGGCAGCTCGGTTTTTTACTCCCCGTGTTGCCTGATCCTAACACGTGCCTCTGCGGCATCTGCAGTCACTCATCCCCATCATTTCTGCTTGCCGAGCCCATAGGCGGGTTCACAGCGCATGAAAATGTAATAAAGACAATTACCACGCGTCGTAAATTTCTAATGCAGGGCAGAGGGAGCGCCTGCCCTGCGCCTGGATACATTCCCGCGTTTAATTATTTACGTTGCTTAAATATTTAAATTAATTAAACGTACCGGCCCGCGCCGCCTAATTTATTTGTCTTGTATGATTAATTAGCAGACAGTGAAAGACATTCCTAAATCTTCGAAAGATCTGGAATCTAAATATTACCTTATAAGGGGAAAAAAGATGTGCACATAATTATTTTATTGCCATTTTAAAGAATGTAGTAAAAATGACAGCAGTAGGGCTGTCATGTGCCCCTATTATTAACTGTGAAACTGGAGGATATGCAGAAGAAATGAATGTGTCATGTGACTGGTCAAACTGTGATCATTGGTCATGTGGTCTTTGTGGAGCACCTGTAGCAGTCTGGAATTAAAGCAGAGTTACACCCAAGAGGGGAAGTTCCACTTTACAGATTGGTCCCCTGCTCCCCATTAACCTCTTCACGCCGGCCGCACACAAATGTACGGCCTCCCGGCATCTGGGCCTAGACGGCTAGCAGCCACACATTTGCGTTCTATTAAAAAAGGACATATGTGCTGGGAGAGCGCGTGCCCTGCGCTCTCCCAGCACACATATCCAGTACTCACGGAAAAGTCTCAATCTCCTCTTTCGATCGGGAACCTTTCTCGATCATGTGACCGCCATGACGGCGGTCACATGACCCTAAACCCTGCCCTGCCTCCCGGCTTCTGGAACCCTTGAAGGGCCGGGAGGTGCTGGCGTGAAAGGGTTAAGGATGGGTACCCGAAATTGACAGGTACTCGTTCCCACTTCAGCTGCGGAAGATGTCTTCCTACCCTCCATCCCTGTAGTCGTCTGGGACCTGAAGAATACGGGGCCATTCAGGAAGCGCATGCGCAGTGGGCACCCGGTTGTGAAACAACAAGCTGTCACGGCTGGGTGTCCACTCTGAAGATGCCGACACCTGGAACACATGATAGCTGGTGAAACAGGCTGCACGGAGGACACCGTGTGATCGCGGGACATGTGAGTGGCTGTTTTTCGAAAGTCAGCAGCTTCAGTTTTTGTAGCTGCTGACTTTTATTTTTTACAGTGTGAGTGGAACTCCTCTTTAAGCCATATGGCAAGAGGTCTGTGGCAGGGGCAGACTGACAACTCATGGGGCTCCCGGGCAATAGGAAATCATGGGGCCCCTTTGTCCTTGCCCACACTCAAACCACACCCAAAAAAGTCTATGAAAGGTACCTGGGGAATCTCATGGGGCCCGCTACTTACCCCGGGCCCTCGGGCAGTGCCATGGTGCCCAAATGGTCAGTCCGCCCCTGGTCTGTGGTTATCTCACCACCAAAACTATATGGGCTTGTTGGACATTCCATTCTAAAATGAGGACCACTAAGGTGGCATTGCTCCCCTTTGAGGCTAGAGCATCCACTCTTCCGAGAAGGCTTTCCACAAGATATTGAAGGCCACCATTGGTGAGGTCAGGTATTGATGTTAGATGAGAAGATGAGAAGACCTGGCTCACAATCAGTGTTCCCAAAGGTGTTCAGTAGGGTTGAGGATACAAAAGAACCTTCTCCAAAACTGTCAACACAATGGGGTTGACTTACAAAAACTAGAGAGTGCAAAATCGGGTGCAGCTGTCCATGGTAGCCAATCAGCTTCCGACTGTATCTTGTTCAATGAAACTTTGACAATAAGTCCTCCTGAACACTGGGGGGCGTTTTGATAACGCTGGTAACATTAGCTGTGTAAAGTCCCATTAAAAACTTGAGTTTTTCAGCTTTTTTTAGCGTTTTTGCATTAGCGTTTACCCACAGTTTTCCGCGTTTGCATTTTTTTAGCGTTTTTTTTTTTTTTTTTTTTTACGTGGTCAAAAAAATGTCCCAGAAACACCGGTTGGCAGCGTTTTTACCACTTTTTTTAGTGTTTTTTTTATTTACTTGGTCAAAAAAAATCCAAAAACACCGGTTGGCAGCGTTTTACCACTTTTTTTGTTTTTTTTTATTTACTTGGTCAAAAAAATATCCAGAAACACCAGTTTGCAGCGTTTTACCAAGTTTTTTAGTGTTTTTTTTTACTTGGTCAAACAAAGTCCAAAAACACCGGTTGGCAGCGTTTTACAACAATTTTTAGCTTTATTTTAATTTATTTGGTAAAAAAAAGTCCAAAAACACCGCTTTGCTGCTTTTTACTGCATTTTTCAGAGTTAGAGCATTTTTACAGCTAAAAATCTTCTCTAGAAACCCACTAGTTCTGTTTTTTTCCGGCCAAAAAAACGCTGATTACAGTCTCTGTGTGTATGGACACATAGGAGAACATGCTGGGGGGTTTAACTGGCTGTAGAAAAAAAGGTAAAAAGCCAAAAACAGCTGCTGTAAAAACGTCCCGTGTGCATGAGGTCTTGATGTTCACATGTGCGGGTGGTGCTCCACACAAAATCTGTGCAGCCGCACCACCCTCACAGAAGAAAGCGGACCCGCGGGTGGGTGCCATTAATTCTAATGGCACGCCGCCCGCACTAGAAAACGCAACCGTACTGTGAACCAGTGGTGTATTTAGGTTTTGTGGACGCCCCCACCCCCCAAAAAAAAATTGGACGCCCCCTCCCCTGTGGAGATAGCCTGATGCCAACCAACAACAGCCCCCCCCCCCCCCCCCCCCCCCGTGGAGAGAGCCTGACAGTGACCAACACAACAACACCCTTGCCCCATCCCCCCCAACCCGAGAGAGCCTTCCACTAACACCCCCTCCAGCGACAGAAAGAAAGACACTCACCTTCACAGCTCTGGCCATCCCCAGGAACGACAGTTGGGCTCTTCATACACCATCAAGCAGCCCACAGCCTCTTTCGGATCCTACCTGGTCTCCATGTCCCTCCTTCCGGGGAGCAGTGCTGCCCCCATAAAAAAAAATGCCGCCCTAGGCAAATGCCTTGTTTGCCTTGTGGTAAATACGCCCCTGCTGGGAACCGAGGTTCCCGTGCGGGCTGCGTTTTCAGAAGAAGTGCAGGGACTTCTTCCCTGCATGTCCGGGGCAAATGAATGGACTCTTGTGCCCGCGCAAAACGCGGCCCGCACGGCCACATATATGTGAACCGGGGGTAAAACCTAGAAGCTGATTGGTTTCTATTCACAGCTGCATCAGATTCTGCACTCTCCAGTTGTAGTAAATCGATCTCAATATTTGAAGTGCATATTTGTCTCAAATGTTGTTGCAGAAGTGGCAGCCCAAGGCAGGTGCGGGGGGTGTGCGCCACACCGGGTGACACCTACCACATGGGGTGACACCGGACCCTCTCCACGAAAAGGTAAGTTGTAAAGCTAGCCGACGATCCCCGCAGGATGGATCGGATCTGCGGATTGAGCATAATGGATTGGAGTCCAATCTATTATCCTTCCCAATCCGCAGATCCCATCCATCCTGCGGGGATCGTCGGCATGCTTTACAACTTACTTTTTCGTGGAGCCGGTCCGGTGCAGGGGTGGACTGACAACTCATGGGGCCCCTGGGCAATAGGGGATCATGGGGCCCCTGTGTTCTTGCCAAAACTCAAAAAAGCCTATGAAAAAGGTACCAGGGGCATCTCATGGGGCCCCCTACTGACCCCGGTCCCTCGAACAGTGCCTGAGTTTCCAAATGGTCAGTCCGCCCCTGGTCCGGTGTCATCCCGTATATGCTAACGATCCCCGCAGGATAAATCGGATCTGCGGATTGGGGAGCATAATGGATCGGACTCTGATCCATTATGCTCAATCCGTAAATCCGATCCATTCTGCGGGATCGTCGGAAGGGGTGTCACCAAGTGTTATCGTACTGGGCAGGGGCGGACTGACCATTTGGAAACTCGGGCACTGCTCGAGGGCCTGGGGTCAGTAGGGGGCCCCATGAGATGCCCCTGGTACCTTTTTCATAGGCTTTTTTGAGTTTGGGCAAGGACACAGGGGCCCCATGATCCCTTATTGCCATGAGTTGTCAGTCCGCCCCTGGCACCGGGTGACACCAACCCTAGGGACGCCCCTGTGTGGCAGTAACATTACCCTTCATTGGAAATACCAGTAATAAAGACAAAAAAAAAGAAAAAGAAATCAGCGGGGGCCTCCACAGTGGGGGGTGGGGGAGACCTGGAGCTGGGTTTTAAAGAACTTCAAATACAAAAAAAATCATCAATAGTTTTCTCACGGATGGCTTGCTAAACATCTCCCACAATTCAATCAGTCACAAAACTTTGATTTCGATTAGTGTCTCGGGATTGTTTGTAAGCATTTTCGTAATGAAATATTCTCTTGAAAAAAGCCAGAATTCGTCTTCTCCAGAACCTTGCTGGGTGGAATATATTCGAGGCAATGGAGCATAATCATGTAATTAATGTACAATCTCTATGTGAGCTTGTTTCCTTCTTAGCTCAGTAAATTAAATCCTGTGGCGCATTCCGACGTCGTTCCAAAAACAATGCGAATGCACGCATCTGCTTAATTTAATTAGAAATAAATGCGTTCGGCACTTAATTTAAATTACGTTTAATATTTTTTTTTGTGCCGGTATGTTAATTCTTAAGACGGGGGTTTGGCGTTTTATTTTTGAACTTTAGTAATTCGATATGAACGCTGCATAGCTGTAGAGAAAAATCCAACGTGCTGCCTTCGATGGTTGACCTTTCTTCTCTCTGTTCAGGTCGGGAGTGACGGGACTCCACACGTGGCCAAGTCAAGATGAACACGTGCAAGTTTTTAGATCAGGACATTGAGGGCAGGGTGGGTAAGGTGCCCAAGCAAGTCCAGAACCCGTCGCTGGTGGCCACCAACCGAACTATGGTGATGGCAGAACCGGAGAAGAAGCGGCGGCAGAGGTACGTGGAGAAAGACGGAAAGTGCAACGTCCACCACGGAAATGTCAGAGAAACGTACAGATACTTGACGGATATATTCACCACCTTGGTAGACCTCAAATGGAGATTTAACTTACTCGTTTTCACCATGGTCTATACAATCACTTGGATTTTCTTCGGATTCATTTGGTGGCTTATTGCTTATATCCGTGGGGACCTTGACCACATAGAGGATTCAACGTGGACACCGTGTGTGGACAAGTTAAACGGGTTTGTGTCAGCCTTTCTTTTTTCTATCGAGACAGAGACCACCATCGGGTATGGATACAGGGTCATCACGGACAAGTGCCCAGAGGGAATTGTTCTTTTGTTGGTCCAGGCCATACTTGGCTCCATTGTCAATGCATTCATGGTGGGCTGCATGTTTGTTAAGATCTCCCAGCCAAAGAAACGAGCAGAGACCCTTATGTTCTCCAATATGGCCGTCATCTCTGTGAGGGACAACAAGCTCTGTTTGATGTTCAGAGTTGGAGATCTGAGGAATTCGCATATCGTGGAGGCATCTATAAGGGCCAAACTGATCAAATCCAAACAAACCAAGGAGGGCGAGTTTATCCCTCTCAATCAGACAGACATCAATGTGGGTTTTGACACTGGAGATGACCGCCTCTTCTTGGTTTCTCCACTAATCATCTGCCATGAGTTCAATGAACATAGCCCTTTTTGGGAAATCTCCAAAGAGCAGTTGGGGAAAGAAGAATTCGAGATTGTAGTTATTTTGGAAGGGATGGTCGAAGCCACGGGTAAGGCATTGTATTGTAATACTTGACATGACAATAGAACCATATCTTGAACTTTGAAACTGTTGCATCTAAAAAAGTGTTGATAAAAAAAGTTTTTAAAAAAGTATTCTCAACAAAGGGTTAATGGTTACCCTTCCCAATGCCCACACAACCGATCTTTGCTGTTTTTATGAGATTCGTTGGATGAAAAATCTTCTGCGACCGACATTGTGTGTGTCAGATGATTGGCACTTTGGTTTTATCCCTTGACCTCTGCAACATTACAGGACACAGTAGTGAAGTAGGGGCTGATGGAGGACACACAGATCTCAGTTGGGGACTGGGCCTCCAACCAGGGGTGGACTAACCATTCGAGCACTCAGGCACTGCCTGAGGGCCCGAGGTCAGTAGAGGGCCCCATGAGATGCCCCTGGTACCTTTCATTGGCTTTTTCATAGGCTTTTTTGGGTATGGGCAAGGACACAGGGGCCCCATGATCCCTTATTGCCCGGGGGCCCCATGAGTTGTCAGTCCGCCCCTGCATCCGACAAACCCGAAAACGCCAGCTGCAGAAGATTATTCATCCAGTATACCTCGTAGATAGATATAGATGTACCCACATGGAAGAAAAATATATTTTAAATATATTTAAAAAATATTCCTCCCAAATATCCAAATATATTGCCATATATTTGAAATACTACAATTTTGGCCATATTGAATATATTTCAATAAATTAAAAAAAAAAATTTTATATATATATATATATATATATATATATATATATATACTGCATGTTGAAATGCGTTTTTATTACAAAATATATGAAAAATATTTTTAAAAATACATTTCAAATATACTGTAAATCTACATTTTACAAATATATGTAAAAATATATGTTAAAATGACTTCTTTATATGTTAAAAAAAATCTGAAGAATATATTTATAAAAATATATTTTTAAAAAATTCAGATTTATTTTTAACATATAAAAAAGTCATTGTAACATATTTTTACGTATATTTGGAAATGCATTCCAAAAGTGTAGATTTTTTTTTTTAAAGACATAAAGTATATTTGAAATGTATTTTAAAAAATATTTTTCATATATTTTGTAATAAAAATAAATTTCAACTTGCAGTATATATATATATATATATTTATTGAAATATATTTTGAAATATATTGAATATGGCCAGGTCACCAGAGCTGGTCTCGGCATTGCAAGATTTCCCCTCTATTACTTTTCTGGGGACAAACTAAAATTTGGGATTTTTTTTTTACTGCTACAGGGCGGCAGAGGTGCGCAAAATCACACATATATATATATATATATATATATATATGTGTGATTTCACATTTCCAGGTAGGGGGCACGTGCCATACCTGTGCCACCATTGGCAAGCTCACCTGTCGATCACTGGGTCCTGGCCGGGTGTATCACGGACGGGGGAGAGAGCTGTATGTAAGCAATACAGATCTCTCCCCTGTCAGCTCCTGCACATTGCTTTGTATGGCTCTGCAAAGCAGAGCCATACAAAGCAGTGTGCTTACAGTGTAAAGCACAGCACGCAGTTAACCCTTTGATCACCCCCAATGTTAACCCCTTTCTGCCCAGTGCCATTAGTACAGTGTCAATGCTTTTTTATTAGCACCGATCACTGTATTGGTGTCACTACCCTGGGGATGTCAGTGATTCAGTTCCCCACTAGTGTCAGAATGCCCCCTGCAGTCTCACTATAAGTCGCTGATCGCCGCCATTACTAGTAAAAAAATGCCAGTATATTTACTGCCATTTGTAGACGCTATAAATTTCACGTAAACCAATTAATTTCTATGAGGGCACTCGTGAGCTCGCCCTGATCCTTCTCTTCTTGAGACCCCTGCCGGCACTCCTGGATCCTCCTCTTCAGCCAGTGACCCCACAGGCAGCTGCTTTCTATGGGGGCACTTAGCACTGATCACTGTAATGGTGTCACTGGGGATGTCAGTGACAGTCAGTTTTTTAGAATTGTCCCCAGAACAAGAGGTAGAGGGGGGAGCCTTTTTAATGGGGACATTCCCCTTACTTTGGAGATTTCTTCTAACTTCCTGTTGTTTCTTTGGGACAGGAAGTGAAGATAAATTTCCATAAGGATACACAGGCAGCTTTTAACTCTTCCCGGAAAAGAGCAATAAAGGGCGCACTCTCCTTGTGCAATAACGTGATAAAAAAGAATTTATTGAAAATGACAAAAGTGTATACTCACAAGCCAAGAGCTGAGCTCTGAGGAAGGGAGCTCGTCTCCCGAAACGCATTAGCACACCCCGTCGCCATCATTGGCTGGGAGTGTCACATTGGTTCCTTGCTTTTATTTATGACTCTTGGTTTGTGAGCGTACACTTTTGTCATTTTCAATAAATTCTTTTCTATCACGGTAATTGCACCCTTTTTTGCTCTTTTCCAGTATTATCAAGATTCCCAGATCTTTAGAGGGCTGCACCTCAGCGAACGACTGCTACCGTGTTCCTAGGATGTTTATGGACCTGAGCGCTGGTTTTGCTTTTCTTTCTTGTGTTATTTTTTAACTCTTCCCTAGTCTTTTCAAAACTAACAAAAAAAAAGTTTGGCGATAAATATACTTCAGTCTTTAACCACTTCCCGTCCAGCCTATGTATATAAACGGGCCGGACGGTGGCAGTCAGTCCAGGGGCGGGTTGCCGTTCATAAACGGCACCCGCCATTTTGGACTGTGCGCGCTCCCTGGGAGTGCACAGCACCGCAATCCAGTGCCCGCTGTGTCCTCCTGACACAGTGGAACACCGATCGTCATACGGGACCTCTGTGCGAGGTCCCGATCATGTGATCACTGATTTCTCACATGCAGAGTAGTAAGCAAGATGTCACTTCTGACATCATTGCTTACTACGTGTGAAATCTGTGAATGATCACAGAGATCACATGGTACAGGGCTAGTCACAACATCCTTGTACCATGTGACAAGCTGTGACCAATCACAGCTCTTACAGTATTTCTCAATGGCTGCAAGAATGCAGCCGGGAGAGAAGGAGAAAAATTATTGCTTTTACAGCCTTTATGGGTGTAAAAGCAATCAGTGTAAATAAAAAAAAATATTCATCACTCCCCACAAGTAGTACAGTGTCACCATGGTGATACTGTACTGCTAGGGTGACAGTATATGTAAAAAAAAAAAAAAAACATAAATAATAATCTAAAAAAATTAAATAAAAATGTAAAAAAAAATTATGATTTTTTATTATAAACTAAATTGGGTTATTTCTTTTCACTAAAAGGATCCCTGAATAAATTTTGGCCAAGATTTATGATGAAATATTATTTATTTGCAGAATTTTATAAGAAAAACACTTTTTTTCAACATTTTTGGACTTTTTCATTTATATAGCAAAAAAAATAAAATCCCAGTGGTGAATAAATACCACCAAAATAAAGCTTTATCTGTTTCAAACAAATGCTAAAAAATGTATAGGGGTACAGTGTTGCATAACCGCGCAATTGTCATTCAAAGGTGTGATATCGCTGAAAGCTGAAAATTGGCCTGGACAGGAAGGGGGGGAAAGTTTCCAGACTGGAAGAGGGGAAAGTGTCCGGACTGGAAGGGGGTGAAAGTGTTCGGAACTGGGAGGGGGGGGAAAGTTTCCAGACTGGAAGAGGGGAAAGTGATCCGGACAGGAAGGGGGTGAAAGTGTCCGGACTGGAAGGCGGTGAAAGTGTCCGGACTGGAAGGGGGAGGAGAAAGTGTCCGGACAGGAAGGGGGGTGAAAGTGTCCGGACTGGAAGGGGGTGAAAGTGTCCGGACTGGAAGGGGGGCAAAGTGTCCGGACTGGAAGGTGGGGAAAGTGTCCGGACTGGAAGGGGGTGAAAGTGTCCGGACTGGAAGGGGGGCAAAGTGTCCGGACTGGAAGTGTTGGGAAAGTGTCCGGACTGGAAGGGGGGGAAAGTGTCCGGACTGGAAGGGGGTGAAAGTGTCCGGACTGGAAGAGGGGAAAGTGTCCCGGACTGGAAGGGGGGGAAAGTGTCCGGACTGGAAGGGGGTGAAAGTGTCCGGACTGGAAGGGGGGGGAAAGTGTCTGGACTGGAAGTGGGGGAAAGTGTCCGGACTGGAAGGGGGGGGAAAGTGTCCGGACTGGAAGGGGGGAAAGTGTCCGGACTGGAAGGGGGGGAAAGTGTCCAGACTGGAAGGGGGGGAAAGTGTCCGGACTGGAAGTGGTTAAAGAGGATGAGAGAGACAAGTCTAGAGCCTTGAGAAGATAAACTGTGCTCCATCTCTATGCATTCCAAGAGATCCTTTTTTATTTGGATGCTAGTAAGAGTAATAGGCAGTAGTGACATCCAGAGGCAGGTGCGGGGGGGGGGAGCGAGCCGCACCTGTGACACCTACCGAACGGGGTGACACCGGACCGGCTCCACGAAAAGGTAAGTTGTAAAGCAAGCCGACGATCCCCACAGGATGGATCGGATGTGCTGATTGAGTATAATGGATCTGAGTCCGATCCATCCTGCGGGGATCGTCGGCTTTCTTTACAACTTACCTTTTCGTGGAGCGGGTCCGGTGTCACCCCGTATAAGTTGCATGCTAACAATCCCCACAGGATAGATCAGATCTGAGGATTGGGGAGCATGATGGATCGGAGTCGGATCCATTATGCTCAATCCGCAGATCCGATCCATTCTCGCTGCGGGGATCATCGGAGGGGCTGTCACCAAGTGTTGTCAAACCGGGTGACACCATCCCTAGGGACGCCCCTGATAGGCAGCATAGACACCCTGATCCAATCCTCATGGAATGTGTCAGATTTCTACAACCATCCCTGAATGGGATTGGGGTCCTTTGCCACCATCTGTCTTCCAAGTAGAATGCTGTTTTAACACATCATCCCCAGTGATCTGACAACAATTCACACATTTAGCCGCGTGAATAGGATAATTAACACCTATGCAGACTCCCTGACACCAAAGATGGGATTGTGTAACTAGAACAGGTTGGCTCCACAATTTTCAC